AGTGGACATGAGATCACTTTGTAGATGCACAGTCTCAGTCATTATTGAATGGGTATTTTCCTTTGTCTCCCAGAATAAGGAAATGTGGACACAGGCACAGAGGGGCTTCTCCAAAGTATAATCCTATTTAACAGTGCACTCTCATTTGGAGGCCTTTGGGACTTTCTGACATAGAAGAGTGCTTCAGGCCCTACCCAGAAGCATCAGTATAATTTTCTCTTTTTCAGATAATTTCTGGGCAGCTTTGGGTGGAAAAGCTCCCTATCGTACCTCTCCCCGGCTGAAGGACAAGAAGATGGATGCTCACCCCCCGCGCCTCTTCGCGTGCTCCAACAAGAGTGGCCGCTTCACTGTGAGTATCTAAGCATATCATTAATTTAACGTCCATCTGACGAAGCTGGGAGAAGCTCAGTCCCAGTCTGCTCTGAGCCAGTCACGAGGCTGTTTCATCTTCTCTGTGCTGTTGCCTCCAGAAGGAAAGGGTGGGCACCAGTTTTTGCAGACAGCCACTGTTGCATCAGCACAGCAGCTTTCTAAAGCATCAGACTTTTAACTAAGATTTAAAACTGGCATCCTCAAATTTTAACTCATTCATCTTTCAAGTACAAGTCTTGGGTGTGAGTGGAAGAGTTTCTCTAGGTAAAAAGAGGCAGATTTTGTGTCCTGTGGTCTAAGAGCACTTCTGTGACATAGCCTGAGTTACATGGTCAAATAACACACCAGTGTCCACCTTCATGCTCTCACTGGCCAGAGATGAAACCTCTGTGAACTGATTATCCTAACTGATAAAATAGCACTTGGAATATGTGCTCATCTTTTAACCTTGTTTTCCAGATTGAAGAAGTTCCTGGAGATCTGACTCAGGATGACCTTGCTACAGATGATGTCATGCTCCTTGACACATGGGATCAGGTATGGAAGAGGGGAGCAAAAAACAGGTGCCAATTTGGTCTAGCTTCAGACCCAAATTACCATAGCTGGAAGAGTTGTACTGCAGAGTCATCTTCAGGCCTGAGAACAAATAATCTCAGTAGTGACACTGAAGAGAACTTAGACCTAGGACTTGAGAAAAGAATTGGTGTCCTGCTGCTGCTTTGGATAGCTTGAGGGCTGAGGGACACTGGCTGTTGTGTCATATGTGCTCCCCCAGTCTGTAAACTTCTTTTGGGCAGAGTCCTTGTTCCAGCTGGAGGGGACTGTGAACCATTGTCAGGATGCAGCAAAGTTACTGACACATCTACTGTTATTTTTCAGTAACAGACTGTGCATTAATCAGCTAAAAGGCAAATTAGAATTTTGTATATTTTACATTCAAACATGTTAGATTTTCCTGAGGTTAAGATAGCGTATAATCTGGTCATGTATCTAGAAATTACACAGATAAAACACAGTCAAAAAGCTGCTTATTCTCTACCAACATCTTTAGTCACATAGCTCAACAATCCAGGCACACCAACATGGGTATGTTCTTGATCACACTGTTCACTGAGACTTTGTCTAAATTTATCCCTTCTTTCATAAAGAGATCAATTGTTGCTGAAATATTTATTTATTTTTGTTTAATCTTTAGGTCTTTGTATGGATTGGGAAAGATGCCCAAGAAGAAGAAAAGACTGAGGCACTGAAATCTGGTAATGTCACATTTTCCTCTCTGAACTAAGAGTTTTTATTTTCCCACTATCTGACCATAAGGCTGGCCATTTAATACACTGAGAGATGTGTCTTAATCACAACAGAACAGTCAGTGTCGGGATCAGTCAGAGAGATCACATCTCTCAAGAAAGGAGGATCCCTAGGATGAGCACAAAGAGGTGTGGTGTTCAGCCATGCTGTGCTCAAGGCCGAGCAGGGAAGAAGTGTCCTTGTGTGAGTGAGCAGGGGTGGGTTCCTTCTGCACCACAGGCTGCCTCTGCACCACAGGCAGTTGATAATCCTAATGCCATTTAGCTACAAACAAGTGCCAGTCTTGTACCAGGTGTAGAGAAAACCAGAGAGTGCAAACTTCCGTGGGTTTGTTGGGGTTTTTTTATTGTTGTTGTTTTTGTTTTTAAATGAACTATCTGAAGTGGTATCTCCAGCAGCCATTTAGCTACAATTATAGAGTTTCACCTGTTGCTCCATCAGACTAGTACTCTCTGAGTGTTCCTTCCACTTGTGTGTTTCCAGCCAAGCGATACATTGAGACTGACCCAGCCAGCAGAGACAAGAGAACTCCCGTCACAATTGTTAAGCAAGGCTTTGAGCCCCCAACCTTCTCTGGCTGGTTCTTGGGCTGGGCTGATGACTACTGGGCTGTGGATCCTCTACAGAGAGCAATGGCAGATGTGGATGTCTAAGTACCAAGGTTTTTTTTTTGTTGTTGTTTTTATTTTTGTTTTTTAATGAAGCAAGTTTAGTGCCTTCAATGCCTTCAAGAGCTACTTCCTCCTGCAGGATGCACGTTAACAAGGCAATGATGATAATAGCCAATTAGCTGTGCAATAATTACCAAAACCTATCATGACCAGTGATTGACCCTACTCCTTGCTTTGATTATATTTAATACAATAAAGCTTGTATGGAATATGTGAAGAATAGAAATGGTGAGGTTTGTTACAAAGAAGAAAACACATTTGAACTTGAAACAAATACACCTTAGAAAACTAAACCTTCTTTGTGCTGTATTTTGCACAGGCACTTTTAACTGAATGGTTACAGAAATTACTTTTGGGCCTTTGGGATTGTTTTGCTTTCCCCTCACCAGTGTTATTAGCATTTAAGAATCCAATAAATCAACAGTATTCTGCTCTTTCAGAAAGTCACTCATTAGTAAACAGGATTTTTTAATTCAGAATGAGAGCAAAAAACACACTCTTGGTGTCAACAAGAATTCCCAGGGGTGGCCAGCAACAGGAGGAGTTAAGAGATTCACTCATTTTCCCCAAGGAGTCACTTCAAGCTGTGCAGTTTCTCCGTTTCCCACTTCCAAGTGCGTGACACAGAAATGCTAAGTATTACAGCTTTGTCTCTCCCTTCTCCCAGCAAAAGTCAAGCTCAGCTTCCATTAACTGTAGCACTGACAAACCAATCCGTGCAGCCATCAAACTGCTGCTGGGATGCAGAGGAAGGAAAAAAGTGGACAGCAAACAGGCAGAGAAGAAACAGTGCCAGTTTGCTCAGGCCCCTACAGTGCTTGGGCACCACTTCCTACCAAGGCCAAAGGCACAGAGCAGTAAGGCACAGTGAACAGACCTTGCCCTTCCTCAAATACCTGTGAGCACAGAACTGACTGTAGCAGAAAGGTGATAAAATGCAAGACAGGAACCTTGTGCTGGCCAACGTGAGAAGGACACGTCACTGAGCGTGCCTTTTCATTTTCATTGCCAACTCCCAATGATTAAAGACCAGACAAAAAACTCTGGTGGTGGTAGCCTAAAGAGCCTACCCCCATGCTGATTCTAATCCTCTCGTTTAAATCTGTAATTATATCTACTAAACAGGTACAAAATAAGAATACAGTTTCACAGACTTACAGCTCAAGACCATACAAACTGAAGATTAAATGTTTTGGTATTAAGTATAAGGCCTTAATGTCACTGCAAATACTGCAGGTCTGCTCAGAAGCTGCATCACCAGGTAAATCCCTAATTTGTTAGGTTATAAACAGTACAGCATTTTGTTAACTAGCACCCTCCCTGCTAATTACAGACATGTTATTTCCTAGAGAAGCAGGTTTTAGACCTGGATAAAATGCCTGAATTAATACTCTGTTTTTTTAAAATAATTTTTGAAAGACAGATAAAGGCAGACCCAACAACTTTGCAGTACTCTAAAGAAGCATAAGCATATACAGCACACCACCATAACAACAGGACAGCCCAGCAGTGACTGCAGCATTTTGTATCCATAACTACAGTATTTTTACGCCATTTCTGGGTGGCAGAACAGAGATGGAAAGTTCCACTTCAATAACATTGGCTAACAACTGTTCCTCATGAATGGGGGGACTATTTTAGGGAGGAGCCTGATTTTTAAAAGTACCCAGTATACCATTCTCACTCCTGTATCAACTTCCATTACTTTTCCTTGTGTAAGCCAGGGAACCAATCCAGATGACAACCATCAGATGACTTCAACACACAGAGGAGAATACAGTTAGGACTGTTCTGCTTCTCTTGTAGGGCTACACACCCAGTTATTACAGGAATACTCCTCTTTCCAAATATGTTGGATCATCTTATCTTCACTACAGATAGTTTTAGATACTGTTTGAAAATGGGAGGTTAGAAATTAAAGGCATCCCATCCAGAACACTATGGATACATGCTTATTTAAGATCACAGTCTGCTTGTACTAATTTTTAGTGACTGCAGCATTTTGTATCCATAACTACAGTATTTTTACGCCATTTCTGGGTGGCAGAACAGAGATGGAAAGTTCCACTTCAATAACATTGGCTAACAACTGTTCCTCATGAATGGGGGGACTATTTTAGGGAGGAGCCTGATTTTTAAAAGTACCCAGTATACCATTCTCACTCCTGTATCAACTTCCATTACTTTTCCTTGTGTAAGCCAGGGAACCAATCCAGATGACAACCATCAGATGACTTCAACACACAGAGGAGAATACAGTTAGGACTGTTCTGCTTCTCTTGTAGGGCTACACACCCAGTTATTACAGGAATACTCCTCTTTCCAAATATGTTGGATCATCTTATCTTCACTACAGATAGTTTTAGATACTGTTTGAAAATGGGAGGTTAGAAATTAAAGGCATCCCATCCAGAACACTATGGATACATGCTTATTTAAGATCACAGTCTGCTTGTACTAATTTTTAGAAGTTTTCAATTTCAAGGATTTTGACCTGTATTCACAAGCACTACATGTAAGTTTAAGAATGCATTTAGTATGAGGTTCCTTAGCAAACCTGCTGTGTTTATACTGCCATAAGCTACAATACACAAGGAGCTCAGTGTTGCAAGCATTTGCCTGACTATAAAACCCAGCTCAGCCTCTCTCCTCCCACTCCACCTAGTGATTTGCACCTATGAGCCCCTGCAGCATATTTACAGGCAGTGGGAAGACAATGGTGGAATTCTTTTCTGCAGCAATGGTGGTCAAGGTCTGCAAATAACGGAGCTGAAGAGCAGCAGGGGACTCTGTAATAACCATAGCTGCCTCTTTCAGGGCCCTGGAAGCATTCATTTCACCCTCAGCTGCAATTACCTGGGGAAGCAAAAGGAATAAAATTAAATAAAAAAGCCCACTCCACTACAAAACCAAACCCACATGTTGATGTTATTACCTTGGCTCTCGCCTCCCGGGCAGCTTCTGCTTCTGCAGCCATTGCTCTCTGCAGCTGGACAGGTAACTTCACATCCTTGATCTCCACACGTTCCACCTTAATGCCCCAATCATCTGTTGCACCATCAAGTGTGGCCTATTTAAGGCAGGACAATTCAGTTAAGCCATCTGCCTGGCTGCAAACAAGTGTCCATATTTGAAGAAGTACCAGTAAACCAAATTAATTATTTTACAGTTCTTGGGTCTTTAAAGGCTTTGGTATTTATATTATGATAATTATAGTAGTGTAACTGTTGTAAACTGACAAAAAAACCCCTCAGAGCTTGATTAATATATTGAAGGAATTCCTTGGCACAATTTTATTTAACAGCAAAGTATTGACATAATGACCCAGGGCAGCTCTTCTCTCCTGTATCCCCCATTCCCACTTGCTAACCCCACTGGTCCATCATTGCTTTAGTCACTCTTTATTCCACAGAACGCCATCCTAGAGGGCTGGTAGAGCTTTGCCTAAAGCTCCAAACCACAACTTGGCTTGTCACTTAGGAGGTAATTTAAGCCCTGACCCACAAGTTATCCATGGGATTGCTGCTTAACTGACTGATGGATTGCTTAGGGAAAGCTGCTCATACCTGCATGCTGTGGGCAATTTCTTCACGATCAGAGAGAATCTGAGAAAGGTTTTTGGTCCCCAGAACGTTCCTCAAAGTGGTCTGTGCTAAGAGGCGTGTGGCTGAGTCAGCATTGGTTATATTTGCTACAGCAAGGGTGGCATTTTGAACTCTGTAATAAACCACTCCATCCACATTAATTGTCACAGAGTCCTTGGTCAAGATCTAAAAAGCAATGGGGAAAGCATATGATATTCTATAAATACAGGCTTAATTATTATGATAATTATATACTTGTTTTACTAGACAAACCCCTGGTTTTTCCAGGGTAAAGCAGCTGCCTTGAAAGATCTCACACATGTTGCATGTGAACATGCCTAAGTACAGATGCACAAGCCTTCCAGTACAGCTAGGTGAGGCTAAGACAGAGTATGGGGTTAGAACGCTTCCCACTGAAAAATAAATGCCATTAGTTTTGCCATAATGTTATTTCTACCTCACTTCTCCAGAATCACAGAGAGATCCGCAATTCAGTTCCAGGATAAAAAATAACATCTCAGTTAGTGTTTTTTCCATAACACAGGTAAATGCTAGAGACTCCAGCACAGCAGGGGCTGTGCAAAGTGCTTTATAGAATTGCAGAACCTTTGCAAAAAAGGGTGTCAGTATATAACGAAGCTTAGAGGAACAGAGAACTGGGACCGTAAGACATTTTAGAAAAGACTGGAAGGTTTTACTGAAGTGTTGGTTTAGCCTGTCCCAACATCTGGGTGTATTTCAGCTGCAGGGGTGACAGCCTTCCTTCAACAGTTAATTAGAAATGTCTCTCATTATCTAGCAGTTCATTGTCCCTCTTGGAGGTACTTCTGATTGAAATGCCGCCACGTGCTACTAAATGAGTATGTGGTGATTCCTAGACAAGTTGCAGAGGAAATCCCAATTTGTGAACATCCTCAGAGCTAGATTCAAGTGATTTACTGAATTTAACACTTGTATGTTCAGCAAAAGATTTACTTGAAAAGATAAAGACATATACTCTTGAAGAGGGTACACCAGGAAAAAGCATTAATATTAATTATACTTTAAAGTTAAGTTGAGGAGATTGAAATATGCCACATGGCCATGAGCAGACGTGCTAACTCCATGTTAGACAATTACTAGTATATTATTTGAGGAGAGTGACATGTGAGTTACTTAACTTCCAAGACTCACCTGTTCTGTCCTTCCCCACCTATTTTAGCAGACTTTCCGTAATAGCACAAGATAAACAAAGAATGAGTAGCATGCACAGAAATCATCTTGTACACAGAAAAATATGTGTCTGCTTTTACCTACGGAGCACAAACCAACCTAAATCCATAAGTATAATTTAATCAAGTCAAAAGAAAAAAACTATAGGACTGATGGTTTCACTAATGGCACAGCAGCAGCTGCAAGCAGATTTTGCCTGGCAGTGATTAGATTTCTTCCAATTACCCTTTAGAGGTACCATGACAGTTGCCATTTGTCTGAATCTAGAAGTAATGATGAGAAATAAACCCCCTAGCAAATATGACAGGGAACAGATGCACCAGATGGGTTGTGTCAAGCATCTTTGTCTTACAAAATGCACCAGATACAGGAGGGATGCAGTTATAATCACCAACATACAATTGTTCACTAACTTATTTTTAGGGGGTTTCTTGTTTTTTCTTCTTTGGTTTTTTATCCAGGGATTTGGCATCACTGAGTTCAGCTGGCTTAATGCTGGGCAGAGATTCTGCTAAAAAGAAATTAAGATGTCCAAGGAAAAACAGGCCAGAAATAAAAGGCAATTCCTTGTCCTTAAGGACCTTCAAACTGAAAGGCTTTGGATGGCATGAGGTGTGGGACACCTTTGCACTGTTCCTGTGCATAGCAGGACATGGTAGCAACGTGCACACAAACCCACATAAGGGAGTGGACCATTACCCTGAGCTGCTATTAATAGCATTTGATGTATACACTCATTTCATCCCATTATTTTAGCTAATCTCAACATCCAGATAAATTGGCACAGGAAGGATCTCTGCTGCTTCTGGAAATCTTCCAGATTTCACAGAAACAATTAAAGAATGTTGCACCAAGTCCAGCAGTCTTCATTCCAAACCCCTCCCATTCCAGCTCCTGGGCAATATTAAGTTATTTGTTCCTTAGAGTACAGGATAATTTGTGTTCCTTCAGGCATCTTCTCTTATTGAATTATATTGCTGCAGGATATATGTATTCTTCACAAGACATTGAACCTGCACAAGAAATCTACATTAAAACTACGTGCTACTCAGTACCAAGAGGGGGAAAGGAAAAAGAAAGTGCAAAAAATTCTGCAAACACTTCAGCACATAGAAAGGCAAATGCAAACTCACCTCTTGAGGAGGAATATCAAAGGAGATAGTTCTCATATCAACTTTGGTGAAGCTGTCTGTGCAGGGTAGGACAAAAAACAAACCTGTACCAAAAAATTTGTTGAAGAAGATGTGAAAACAGGTCATGAGAACAGCCACAACTTAGTAGTGACATAAGCTGAAATCCAGCCACTGTAGCTGGACAGTCCTCTTTGTAACCAGCTCAGGAGCATGTTCATTAGTGGCTTTCAAACCAAGATAAGATTATCAAAACAGTATGCTGAGAAACTCCAATTTATTCAGGTCTAACTTGTTTACATATCTTTAATATTTGGAAGAAAACCCTCAGAACTCTTAACAGCTCCTTTTGAAAATCTGTCCCACATCGTTACTTCTGGGGCCTAATTCTGGCAAGCAGAAGCTATTAACCTCCTGTGCTGGTGGATCAATCACTGCAATTATTCAGCTTTGAGGCAATGGGGACGTATTGCAAAACCTGGATGAAAATGACAGAAGAAGCTACTGCCCCTTCCTGTCAACTCTGGGCAGCCTGAAACCAACGTTCTTTCAGGTCTCACCAGAACTTCTGGCGTACACAGGGAAGTTTTCAAAACTGTCACCTTACACAAGAGGAACATTGCACCAGAGGAACATTGCACCAGAAGAACATCAAGGCTTTCAGCTTTTAAAAGTGATATACTAAACTTCTTTTTTAAAACTGTGCATTTGATGCCAGTATTCCTCCCTTTATGTTCTGTGCTTTTGGTTCCACCTGAGGACCACGCATTAACAAAGGAGATCTGGGAAAGGCTGGCAGATAATTAGGTGACCATCTTCTCCACATAAAGCAACATTGCCACTTACTGGAAGCTGCAGAATTATTGGGAAATCCATTCACCACTTTTAAAGCAACGTCTCGGGACAGCTACTGTTTTGCCAATGACTTAATGACAGCAAATGTAAAGAATCCTCCCCAGGACATACCTGGTCCCTTTGCTCCCCCCTTCACGATGCGTCCCAGCCTGAATATGACGGCTCGCTCGTACTCCTTCACAATCTGTAATGAACAGTTGGGTGTCATCCAGGGCTTTCCAGAAGCCACACAATGGATTCCAAACTATGGTTACACACTAGTTTAACACAGTCTTGAGTCTCAAATATAACATGCATTTCTATACTGGCTGCTTTTGAGAATTTTAGCCTGAACTGCATTGTTAAAAAGCAAAGAGCAAAAAGAACAAGCAGGACAATATCGCTTCAGACTGTGGCATCATCTGTAACCAGCAGAAGCAACAGCTCCTCATTTGGGCAGGGCCAAGCACTATCAGCAGCCATGGGGAATATCCTGGCAACAATAAAGTGCAGTATTTATGACCCTGCAGAGATTTTCCAGCTCTAAGTCCAACGTGGTGTATCAGCCAAAACAAAGCAGGAGTTATCTCCTCTAGTCTGGAAACTGAAAACATCAAGCCCAGAGTGATCACAGATGACACAGTCTATACAAATCTGTCACATATATGTATGAACCTATATATTTACACATATACATATCTAGGGAAAG